TTTTTTTTTTTTTTTTTTTTACGCACGATTTATCTAACAATTAATATTTGACAGTATTTATTTTATTTATTTTTGTTGTTTCTTCGAGTGTAGGTAACAAATAGTTAGGTCTGCCTCACAACAACAATGCTTTTTTTACAAATTCTTTTGTGAGGCACGGTAACAGTTCAAATTTTTATATGAGACAATTTAATCACTCGACCAGTCACATTATTTGAGCAATAATACTTGTTTATGCTGTTTTAAAATTACAATATTTTTTAATAAAAATATGAATACTTGTAAAAAATAGTATGGTAGGTTTAATCGGCTGTCATAACACAGACCAAACCGGGTTAGTTATATTATGTAACCAAACAAACACAAGAGATAAAATACAGCAATAATGCAATATCATGTATGTACGCTACAGTTAGCCAATTGTCTTTCAATTGAAAATAATGGACACACGCACTAACATATATACATTTTATTGTAAATCCACATTAACTTAATGATAATAATTTGAAAATGACACGAAGTTTGACTTTTTATATAGGAGGGATTTGTCATTTATTGAATTTTCAAGCTCAAATTAAAAGGCACATTTGGAACAAAATCCCGACACTCCATAATGCCATAAAATTTAGTCATATTTTAAATCATGTGTTCGTCATATTGGAGCAAATTATTAACAGTTTTAAACACTATGTATGAACAGTTGAAGTTTGTTTATTTTTTTTTTAACATATAATTGTAAATTATTCTAGTTTATTTTCTCCTTTTGTATCCTCTTGTTTTTGAAGAGTCATAATTAGCTTAGGGCAGCCAATTTAGAATCTCTGAAAGTTTACAAAGCCAAATATTATACTGTTGGAAAGGCTCTAAATGGAATCAAGTAGTTTTTGTAAACAAGTCGAGCCGAAAAGAGCTCGAACTCCTTATACTTAATCTCGAGCTCTAGCCAAACTGAGCTCGTTTATCAATATTAAGTTGTTAACTAGCGGAACTCGAGTTTTAACAAGCCCAACTCATGAGGGGCTCATTCCGTATAACTGTAGAATCAAGATCTATTAATAATCTATCATCAGTCATCACAAATAAATGATCAATAATGAAAATCTTATTCAAACACGATTTGCTTTCCAACACAGCATCAATATAACCATTTCTATCAATTCTGGAAAAAGGAACATTCATTTATAGCATCTACATTCAACATGCCAACAATAATTGTCATGATCAAACTACACTAACTTGTATAATAATTTGTAAGGAAAAAAACAAAAACGGGCGAAGAAAATGAAAATCCTGTGCAGAAGCTCACGTTTCGAACCTCTGTCTGCCGAAGCAGGGCAAAAGACCAAAATAAAAAAGAACAACTTTCAAAGTTGTATCGTCTAGAAAAGATAAAATAACAAAACACTGCAATTCAGGAGTATCTCTCACAAGCAGCAAAGCCTCGGAAGGCAGATAACCTTGGGCTTACTGTTGGTTTATGAAGTTAAATCTCTCTGTACGTACACATTTATGCTCACGAGTCGAACTTTTACAGCTTTCAAGCAGGCAATGGAGGGAAATCTTCATCATCTTTGAGGAGGTATGATGACCCAAGCAAAATCCTATAATATTCCCCAAAAACAAAATAAAGAAAAAAACACTTTGAAACCACAAATAAATATAACCACCACCAATTTTTTCTATTTTTCATTTTTCGGTTACCTGTTCTGCTCCTTGCTCAAAGAAGATTGTGACATATGAATCAGGGAATTTTCAGGCGCATGTTTGACCTTATCAAGACCGGCAAGTCCTCCTCCCTCTGATTGGATTAACAAGCTGTTATTCGAATTGTGACGAGAAGAATATTGTGAATGTGAAACTTCATGGCTGCTCCTTTCTAACATATTCGCCTCGGTAAATATCATGTTGTTCTGTTCATTGTTACCAACTGGCTTATTATAACCTTGAGCGAGTTGATTCTGGTTCCTACCAATCATAGCTGTTGGAGGCCTATACACTTGAGGGAGTTGATTCTGCGAAAATTTTCGAAAAAGTTAAGCATAAAATTAAAGGGTGTTGTTTTAAATAAATTATAACAAACCAATACATATTTCGGATAAATATTTACATACCGTGTTAGGAAAATAAGTCCCCGTCCCTCGTGGTTTAGGCACTTCCTCCCACCCAAATGTAACGTTAGGTAAAATTACGGGCTGCACGTTGTACATAGCTGGGCCTGGGCCCAGGTGGAGCCCATTAGGATGATGCCCATAGGAAAATCCGTTGGGCCTAAAGTGCGATAACGGGCCATTACTCGGAAAAGGAGGGCCCGACAAAGGAGGCAAAGACAAAGAATGCACGACATTTAAACCCTGCTCATACCACCACTTGCCGTAATTAAGGCACCGCATGTAACCCTCGAAATCCCCACTGAGATCACACGAGGAGTCCTCATTTGATTCACGAGCTCGATTTTCATCGGGTTTCGAAGGAGAAATATTTTGTTTCTCATGTTTATAAGGCTCATCTGGATCTTGATCCTTCTTAGGAAAATACAAGTGGGGTGCATGGTAAGGGAAGCCGAATGAATTTTCAGACATATTTGTGTTTGAGGTTTGTTCAGTCTGTTTTGGTATATCTTGACGAAAATTTCGAGTAGAAATATCAAGAAAGTCAATTTCAGGTCTGTATGAACCTCCGTGCCTTCCTAAAGTGTTTGAGAAGAACAAATGAAGCTCGTTGGTGATAGAATTTACAGGCTGGCAGATTATCCGTGCCAGTTTACGGGCACCGTAAGAGAAAGCACTGCGTATGCGGTAAAAGTTACCTGTGTGATAATTCGGAATGTGAAAATTTAAACAGAATAAATGAATAAGTGACTAATAAACCATAGCATTATGGATTTTAGGATTTGAGTGGTTGAAGCATATGAAGAAAAAAAAAAAAAAAAAAAAAAAAAAAAAAAAAAAAAAAAAAAACCAGTTTTTTCATAACAACTCAGTTTCCTTTGTTTTCCCAACATGATTTCGAAAGGAATAATATAATAATGATTAATAATGAAAATGATCAGCATGATATAATAGATAAAGAATGACATACCTCTGCTAACACTACGCCCGAGATTATTCATCTCTTTCAGTGGATCAACTATGTTAAGATGCTTCAGCTGAAATCCACGTGAATTATTTTCGCCTCCTCTGTAAGGCACTGAAAAAGTTTCTACGCACAAAGTTAAGAAATCATTGTGCAGCAGTAATTCTTGGTCGCTATCTTCAGGCATCTCAACTGAAAAAAAAAAAGAGAGAGAGAACCAATTAATTGATAAATTTAAATCGTAAAGTCTTTTAATTTACGCAAGAAAAAAAAGAAAAAAACAGAAAAAAAAAAGAAAGAAAGAATGTTGCTCACCAACTATTGCGGGCAATGAGGAAAGGCGAACTGGGCCATTCAAGCTAAGGCAGTAAGTGTCCCAGTCGAACTTACTAAAATAATCAAGAAACTTAAACAAAACCTAAAGATGATAAAGTATGATTTCATTAAAATTATCTTCTTTAGACATTATGAAGAAAATGGATAAAATATTTGGGGAGAAAATCAACTCACAGATAAAGGCCCGTCCAGTTTAGAGTGAAAGAGGTGGAAAATGTACAGCACCATTGTCTCCAAAGCATAGGTAGAAATTAGGCCATGATGAGCACCAAGAATACGACTTTCGTAATAGCACCATGATTTGATTAGGATAATACTGCGCTTAAACAGATGATCTTTGCCAATTAGGCGATCGACCTGAAAAATAACAAACGTTCCAAATTGTCACATTTAGAAAATTATGCATCCATCACCATTCGTATACAAAATTGGAAAAAGATCAGGTTTTGTGGTTACATAATCGTAAGAGTTACTAGTGACTGAATGCAATATAGTATATTAAGAATCGTTCCATAGCAATATTTCTTTATAGATAAATACTCATTTCGCAAGATATTTCTTTTCTAATCACAAGTCGTCTATGAATAGTTAAATAAAACATAATGTCATTTGCAAACAAAGGAAAATTACATCTGTAAGAGACAGATCAATATATTTAAGTTACGGAAATAGGCATATTAGCAACAAAATAAGAGATAACTGGAAGCATCCTGGTCAAATAACCAAAAAATATCTCAATAGTTAATGACTTAATGAACTCATAATGTAAGTTACCTGCTCCAGAAAGCATAAAGTACAAAGGCCCCCGATTTGGTTAAAGGACACATCAACAACAATATCTTGTACAATACATTTCACAAGCTTAACCTGCCATGCAAGAGGCCACGCTTGATGAGATGGGACAATAAATCCATGAACATGAATATAAATAAAAATCAAATATACAGAAACCATGAATTAATAATCCAAGTTTAAAAGCAGCATGGAGGACACACCTAATAATAAAGTATGTCAAAAGTAGTGATATATATAGGGGTTGGTTCAAATAAAAACTAAGTCTGGTGTGAGAACCGTGAGAACCATATTTGATGCTATTTTTAATTGTGTACGATGCTATTTTTAATTTTGCATGGTGCTATCATTCTCACAAATGTTAATAAAAATTTTATTGCTATTTTTAATAAAATACATCCTAGTTAAAAATAGCACTAAAACACAATCAATTATTGCACTACATACAATTAAAAATAGGGGTTCTCACGGTTCACACACTAGGACTTGGTTCTCATTTGAACAACATATATATATATATATATATATATATATATATATATATATATACAAGAAAATAACTTCCTGTCTTAAGTGTCTCTCTCTATATGACAATGATTACTCTTTTGCAAGTGATAATTTCATTGACTATCTCTTTACGATTAACCTTTGTCTTTACGATGCATGTGATAATTGCTTTGACTATCTCTTACTTATTTTCATTAAGTTTACCAACACCGTTTCAACATATTGTCTAATCAAAAACCAAGAGATTGAAGATTGGAATCACATTGTACTTACTAAGATAACTCTAGTAGATTAGAATCCAAAGTTTTTACCTCTGCACGAACAAGCTGGACATCCTTTACAACAAATTCCGAGGATGTATTTTTCTCTTCTTCTTGAAGTATAGCTCGCATATCCTCAGCGAAAGTATCTTCAACGTTTGCACCACCAAAGGTAGTCAGATCTATGTCTCCATCTGGAAGATAAGTTTTTAGAGGTACAGATCCATATGCAAATACCTGGCAGAAAATGTTCAAACAATTAATTCCATCTCTATAAAGGCACAGCAAGGCCAGTGAGGTACAAAAATAGAGACTGGACAAAACTATTCTCAAGCAATAGACTTAGACCTATAAGGCATACTTACAACAAGGTCAAATAATCATTCTTTATTCACATTTCTTTGTACGTGACTCGTCCGTTGATTCAAATCAAGGGACCGTAATGTATAAGAGCGTATAAAGTTGGATCTCTGCTGTGCTCTTTCATTCGAATTTCAACTTTCTAGAAACTATCACATAGTGTAACTTATGGGATAAGGGGCCATAAATTTGTAATGAGATCATACAATAAGTTTAAAAGAGCAGTATATTCACTGAGAAAAAAAAAATGAAATGTTTGTTTTACCCTTCAGAACTATTTTTAAGATATAACTCTTCATGACATCTATGATAAAGAGTTTCCAATTTGAGATGAACTGAAAAATAGTAAAATCCATGAAAAATAGTAAAACCCAAGAACTTCGCATACTACAAAACCCAAGTGCAAATCCATATATGATACATCCATGATTATCATCTGCCATACCTCATGTTCAGTTGTTTTGATACAACAGTTGTTGAATAGTTCACGTAACATGTAAGAACGAAATGCACTTTTAAGTTATAGATTATTGAATTAGCTGATGTAACACCATAACTCATTCATTTAAAGTTAATAAACTTTTCTGTTGGTAATTATTGAATAACAGCAACATTTTACAAAAAATATAAGTACCCTAATGATAAAATAAATCAGAGGCTCGAATCATATCATATTAGTGAGAGGTAATCCCTGATTACCTCAATTATTCTCATACCATTCAAAGACACGTGTGAAGAAGTTGATCGGATTGAGTTCAAAATTATTAGATACGACTTGACAAAACGGATAAAGTAATCCCGACCCAGAACTTTCGACGCGCGTTATAAAAGCAACCTTTTTTTATCTAATAATGCTAACGATCTTCCGCATTTAATATCCATCCCATAACGAGATAATCAAAACCAAATTTACCCTAAAAGCTTCCTTGCATTCGAAACAACAAATTATGCATCCATGCAAATGAAAACACAATCCACGACGTGCACATAAAACAACACAGAGAACAACTGGTCTAGCTGCACCTCAGACTAACACTCAAAACAGCAAACTAGGACATAGAGCTCCATCTCCAAAGCAATAAATCCTCAAACCACAAACATAAGCATATATACATATCACAAAATGTACACATAATAATAGCAAAGAAAACATTAAGAACTATAAATCAGTTAAAAAAGAGCATAAAAAAGGTTCAAGGTTTCACCTCAGCACCCAAACAAGTCCTGATTAATCTCTGTATATAATCAACAACCCTTTTTCTCATCTCTTCGGACACGGAATTGGGTTGGACCTTCCGGATAATTTCATGAGCCACCCTTTCAACTGAGGCCCAGTTACCATTTCCAATCTCGA